CCATTGGATTTTGATAGGTATTTCACTGAATCTGTAGATAGCTTTGGGTAGTACGGATATCTTAACAATATTATTTCTTCCAATCCATGAGCACAGAATATCTTTCCATTTATTTGTGTTTTCTTCAATTTTTTTCATCAGTGTCTTATAGTTTCCAGTGTACAGGTCTTTCACATCCTTGGTTAAATTTATTCCTAGGTATTTTATTCTTTTTGGTGCAATTGTAAATAGAATTGTTTTTCTTAATTTCTTTTTCTGACAGTTTGCTGTTAGTGTATAGAAATGCAACTGATTTTTGCATATTGAATTTGTATCCTGCAACTTTACTGAGTTCACTGACTAATTCTAACAGTTTTTTTGGTTGAGATTTTAGGTTTTCCTAGATATATTATTATGTCATTTGCAAATAGAGACCGTTTTACTTCTTTCTTTCCAATTTGGATGCCTTGTATTTCTTTTACTTGCCTAATTGCTGTGGCTAGGGCTCCCAGTACTATGTTGAATAAGTGGCAAGAGTGGGCATCCTTGTTCTGTTCTTTATCTTAGAGGAAAACCTTTAAACTTTTTACCATTGAGTATGATATTAGCTGTGGATACTTTAAATAATGAATGGAAGACCATCCATCCAAAAATGATGAAGATCAAAAATGAAATAGAAGACTGTATGATACTTTAAACCAACTAGATCTAACAGAAATACATGATCTCCACCCAACAACAGGATATAGATTCTTCTCAAGTGAAAATGTATATTCTGTAGGATAGACCATATGTTAGATCACAAAATGAGTCTCAGAAATTTTGAAAAGATTGGAACCATACAAAGTTTCTTCTCTAACCATGATGGAATGAAACTAGTCATCAATAACAGAAAGAAAAACTGGAAAGTTCACACATATTGGAAATTAAACAACACACTCTTAACCAATGGGTCAAATAATACATCACAAGGAAAACTAGAAAATACTTGGAGATGAATGAAAGTGAAAACACAACATACCCAAACTTAAGGAATTATATAGCGAAAGCAGTGCTGATGGAGGAATTCATAGCTGCCCTAGCCTACATTTAAAAAGAAAGATGTCAAATTACAACCTAACTTTATACCTTAAGGAACTAGAAAAAGAAGAGCAAATAAAACCCAAAGCTAGCAGAAGGAAGGAAATAATAAAGATTAGAATAGAGATAAATGAAATAAAGAATAGAAAAACAATAGAGAGTTTAATGAAATAGAGAAAAAAAGGTCAACAATAGTTGGCTTTTTGAAAAGATCAACAAAATTGACAAACTTTTATAGCTAAGCTAAGAAAAAAAAGAGAGAAGACATAAATTACTAAAATCAGATATGAAACTGGGTACATTACTCTGACCTCATAGAAAAATGATTATAGGATAATAATAAATAATTGTACACCAACAAGTTAGATAACCTAGATGAAATGCACAAATACTTGAATTACCAATACTGCCTCAAGAAGAAATAGGAAATCTGAATAAGTATATATCAAGAGATTGAATCAGTAATTAAAAACCTCCCAACAAAGTAAAGCCCTGGACTAGATAGCTTCACTGGTGAATTCTACCAAACTTTTAAAGAAGAATTAACACTAATCCTTCTCACAGTCTTCCAAAATATATAAGAGGGAATGATTCTAAAGCCAGCATTACTCTGTTACCAAAGCTAGAAAAAGATATCACAAGAAAGAAAATTACAGAATCAACAAAATACTAGCAAACTGAATCGAGCAGCATATTAAAAGGATTATACACCAAGACCAAGTGGGATTTTCCCCAGGAATTGTAAGTGTGGTTCAACATCAGGAAATCAATCAGGGTAATACATTTCATTAAAAGAATGAAGGAACAAAACCACGTGATCATTTCAATTGATGCCGAAAAAGCATTTGATAAAATCCAACACCTTTTCATGATAAAAATCAATTCCTGATTTCAAAACTTAGCAAACTAGGAGTAGAAGGGAACTTCTTCTACATGATAAAAGGCATTTATCAAAAACCGACAGTTAACATCATACTCAATGGCAAAGGACCAAAAGCTTTCCCCCTAAGACTGGGAACAAGACAAGGATGTCTGCTTTCACCACTGCTGTTCAACATTGTACTAGAAGTTCCAGCCAGAGCAATTAGGCAAGAAAAAAAGACATCTAAAATGGAAAAGAAGTAGAATTACCTCTTTTCACACATGATACTATATATGGAAAATCCTATATATAGAAAATCCTAAAGAATCCACAAAAATTTATTAGAGTGAATGAATGAATGCAGCAAAGTTGAAGGGTATAAGATCAATATACAAAATTCACTTGTATTTCTGTACACAAGCAATAAGCACTCAAAAAAGGAAATTGAGAATACAATTCTTTTTACAATAGCATCAAAAAGAGTAAAATACTTAGGAATAAATCTAACCAAGGAGATGCAAAACTTGTAAACTGAAAACTATAAAACATTGCTGAAATAAATTAAAGAAGACTGAAATAAATGGAAAGGTATTCGTGTATATGCATTGGCAGACTTATTATTAAGATGGCAATACTTCCCAAAGGGATTTACAAAATCAATATAATCCTTTTCAAAATCCCAGCAGCTTTTTTGCAGAAATGGAAAAGCTGATCCTAAAATTTACATAGAATTTTAAGTGACCTGGAATAGTTAAAACAATTTTGAAAAAGGTAAACAAAGTTGGAGCACTCACAATTCGTGACCTCAAACTTACTACAAAGCTACTTTGTATCAAAAAACATGGTATCAAGAGAAAGAGGAGACAAGCCACAGACTAGGAGAAAATATTTTTAAAAGATGTATCTGATAAAGGACTGTTACCCAAATATACAAAGAACTCTGAAAATTCAGTAATAAGAAAATGAACAACCCGGTTAAAAATGGACAAAAGACCTGATCAGATACCTCACCAGAGAACATATACAGATGACAATTAAGCATATGAAAAGATTCTCCACATCATATATCATTAGGGAATTGCAACTTTAAACAACATTGCAATATCACTACACACCCATCAGGATTGCTTTTCCCACTACACCATGATGCTTCTGTAGGTATTCATTTTCATCCATGTAACCTTTTAGGATTACTCTTTTTTTTTTTTTTTTCAGTAAATTTATTTATTTATTTTTGGCTGTGTTGGGTCTTTGTTGCTACATGCGGGCTTTCTCTAGTTGTGGCAAGCAGGGGCTACTCTTCCATGTGGTGCGTGGGCTTCTCATAGGGGTGACTTCTCTTGTTGTGGAGCACTGGCTCTAGGCACATGGGCTTCAGTAGTTGTGGCATGCCGGGTCAGTAGTTGTGGCTCGTAGGCTCTAGAGTGCAGGTTCAGTAGTTGTGGCACACGGGCTTATTTGCTCCACGGCATGTGAGATCTTCCCAGACCAGGGCTTGAACCTATGTCTCCTGTATTGGCAGGCGGATTCTTAACCACTATGCCACCCGGGAAGTCCAGGATTACTCTTATCTTTACTGATCTTTTTGTTCTCCAGATATAACACTAACTTGTTTTTACCACACCAATATAGCTGTGTGATGTTTGCATTATAGCACACTTTAGCACATATCAAGTATATACTACCTGGATTTTAGATTTTTTTTTAAATTAAATTCTCCACCAAACCTTGTGTAATATCTTGCCTATATTGAGTCCTAAAAGAACAGTTAGTAGGTGAATTGTTCCTAGCTGAAGAGAAGAAGGCTTTGTGAAGGAAGTAGATTTGAGCACACCCTTGAAGTATTTGTGGAATCCAATGGATGAAGAGATCTAAAGGTGGAAGAGCTACCGAGCAAAGTCATAGTAGCTGCAAGTACAATGCATTCAGGATGTATGTATTAAAGTAAAAATGCCTGAATAAGGATGTGGCAGTAGGAATGGAAACCTGAAACGTTTCAGAAACTAGGTCTCATATTTGTGATATTGAACACGGGCAAGGTCCCTAGCACTTGGAGATTTGGGGGTAGGACACCAACCACTGAAGAAACCCTATATTTACAAAGAATTTGAGATGATAGTCTATTATGTCAATCATACTTATATTTTTAAAGGGAAGGAAACAAAGTTGACCTTTTAAAAAAAACGTGGGAGCATGAAATGAAACACCCAACTTGTCTTGGGTTTTGCTAATGAGCCTGGTTATTATGCTTATATTATCTGTCACTAGATGGAGTCCATGAGTCCAGGCAACTTTTGGTTGGACTTTTCTACATAACTCTTCCAATGATTCCTGTTCTGTGCCTTTGAAAAGTAGAGTAATACTTTTTTAAAAAAATTGACAAATGGGTTTGAATGGCAGAATTTTTAGATTTGCCTTACAAGAAAAACCATTAGTTTATAAAACAGCAAAGTGATCTTTTCAATTCTTCACATTCCCACACTCCAAATTTTTTTTTGGAAAAGATCTCTAAAAACCACAGTTTAATATCAGTTCTAAATCTTTCTGGTATTGAGTGTTTTAATATAATTAATTATTGAAAGTGAGTTTAAAAATTAAGTTGTTATCCTCTGTTCGAGTGCCCTCCCCCATCCCCAAGAGCTCTTGATTTCAACCCAGTTACACATTTCCCCCCACCTCCTGTAAATTTTGCTTCAAATACTAGTAAGAACAATTGTTACACTGCTTACTAAGTGTCAATATTTAGCACAGCACAGCAGGTGTCTGCATTTCTAAAACCTTACATGGCATAAGGCATCATGAGAGAAAGGCCCAGATAAGTAATTTTTCTTTATTAAGGCTGCCAAAGGTAAGAAACCTGAGGCTGATAATAGGTAATAGTTATAAGCTTACTTTGCTTTATGTTGTTTACTTTGTTTTATGTTGGGACTAGGCAACATGTGGATGAGTACATGAAGTAGTTGCAGAAAGTTATCTTGGGAGCTCTCTAGGCCCCAGTTAAACTTGCTCAGTTAGTCTGTATACAAGGCAACATGTGGACAAGTTATGATCGAATTCCTTTTTTGTCTTTCTGATACAGCACGTGCCCTTATAGTCGGCCTCCTTTTGGCTATGGAAATTTTCCAAGTGCAGTGCCAGAATGCCTTGGTTATTATGAAGACAGATGCCAGAACCATGAGGCTATGTTTTCAGCTTTAAATAGAGATTATCCTTATGGAGACTACCCAGATGAACGTGCTCACAGCGAAGATTTTTGGAGTTGTGAGAGCATGGATGGGACCTCTTACTGTAACAGCCATAGCCACAGTGGGGAAGAATACTTAAATCTCGTGCCTCAGCTGGACACTGGAGCCTTGGAAAGTGTCTTCACAACCCCGACATCAACTCCCTCTAACATCCAGCAAGTCAATGTCACTGACAGTGATGATGAGGAAGAAGAAAAAGTGCTCAAGAATTTATAATTATAAAACAAATATGTGCAGAAAATAAATATTTCTTAAAATATATTCTGGGTCACTTGATGTGAAAAAAAGAGCCTAGAATGCTTTGCTGAGAGTTTTCAGCTGTGATCTGAGGAGTCAAAACCAAATGCAATTTATGCCTTCATAAACTTTTGATTAGTGAAACTGGAATCCTGATGTTTCATCGTAGGAATATTTAAGATATGAAGTAGTTTATTTTTATGGCTGAAATTTGCATCAGCGTATATTATCATCACTTTATCTTGGAACGTGCAAAACACTGAATCCTCACAATTATATGTGAGGGGAAAGGGGGTGTGTAATCTGGCATGACAAGTGTGATTTGTATTTTATCTCAGGATACATTTATTTTTCTTTATATGATGTTTTGTTTGGTGTTTATGTAATACTTATGGATGTTTCACTTTTTATGTAACATTTTGAAAATATTTTGATAACTTTTAGTAGTAAATTGGGACTCAGTTACTAAATTTAATTTACACTAATAACCAATTATAAGTTGCAAATATGTTTTAATGGAACCTGAGTAATTCCTTCAGCTAAATTAGTCATTTCTGTTCCTAAACATTTTCATCATCTTTTTTGGATATCTTTTTACATTTGGTATGCATTGTTCTACTTTTTTTATAATTAAATAAACATAGAGAAAATTGTTCTTGTTGGATGTTTTCTGTTTGGGAGACAGAAATAAGCAAAATGAGTATTGCTCAAATGAGAATGGGTTCCATACCACATACGATATTCATTTTAACTTAATAGTCTCTAGAATTGTACAGATCCTATTAGCTTACTTGAAACTGTATCAGCAAAGATGGTGTACACATATTATGATGCCATTTCCAAACTCTTTACAGATGTGTACCTATGACTTAAACACTCCCTAAATGGAAGAGCTCTTCCAGATTTGGTTCAAGCAGCTGTCTTTAAAACCATGGAGTTCATTTAAGAGCACCTGGAATTTGTTTAATTCATAATGAGCAAAAAAATCCTATTTGCGATGTGGCCTCTGGGTAAATGCCCACTTATGGATGGAGAGAACCATATTAGAACAGGATCAGAACCACCAGAGTTGGGATCAGGGTAAAAGAGATCTACAAGACACAAAGTGAACTGATGATCAGAAATCACCACAAACCAATACACTTTTCTCTCAATGATCTGTATAATTTATGCAAATTGAGATCTTTTACTTAAAACTGCTTGGAAGTTATGTATGGAAACCTATACTAAGCTTCCAACTTCTTCCTTTACTAAACCTGTTCCTTAAGCAAAGGCTGTTACTGTATGATACATTTCATCAACCATATACTTAATTGTATGTAACATTTCCTCTTCCCAATAAAATTTTTATTTTCACATTTTATATTTATTATTACTCTGTGCAATATCATCTGAATGTGGTTAAAGACCAAAACTTGAATTTCTTGGTAGAGAACAAACATGTAACTTCACATTGGAGCTACAGCACATTTGATGTCTACACCATGACAGATGTCTACAACGTTGTATGTGACAGTTTGAGCCATTTTATCCCATTTCATTTTAATTGCACCTTAGTGACTGAACTGGGTTTTGATCACAGACCTTATTCTTTTTTTTTACTGAAGTATAGCTCATTTACAATTTATATTAGTTTCAGGTGTAAACAGTGATTCAATGTTTTTATAGATTATACTCCATTTAAAGTTACTATGAAATACTGGCTATATTCCCTGTGCTGTACACTATATCCTCGTAGCTTGTTTTATACATAGTAGTTTGTACCTCTTAATCCCCTATCCCTATCTTGCCCCTCTCCCATTCCCTCTACTCACTGGTAATCACTAGTTTGTTCTTTATCCTGTGAGTCTGTTTCTGTTTTGCTATAGTTGTTTGTTTTATTTTTTAGATTCCTCATATAAGTGAAAACATACAGTATTTGTCTTTCTCTGTCTGACTTATTTCATTAAGCATAATAGGGAATTTCCTGGCGGTTCAGTGGTTAGGACTCTGTGCTTCCACTGCAGGGGACATGGGTCCCTCATGGTCGGGGAACTAAGATCCTGTGCTGTGTGATGATGTGTGATGTGGCCAAAAAAAAAAGGCATAATACCCTCCAGCTCCATCCATGTTGTTGCAAATGGCAAAATTTCATTCTTTTTATGGCTGAGTAATATTCCATTGTGTGTGTGTGTGTGTGTGTGTGTGTGTGTGTGTGTGTCTTTGTCCATTCATCTATTGATGGACACTTAGTTTGCTTCCATATCTTGTATTTCCCAAAATTATTTGACTGAATATTGTCAGAATATCTAAAAGGCTTGGGTTCCAACTAACACCTTTAGAGAAAGACTGCTCTTGACTTTCTAAATTTGATAATTCAGCTACTTGAAAGTTGGGACTAAATCTATTTTCAGTCTATTTTGCAGTGAAAAGAATAATGCTGCTGTGAACATTGGGGTGTGTATATCTTTTCGAATTAATGTTTTCCTTTTCTTTGGATATATACCCAGGAGTGGAATTGCTGGATCATATGATGGCTCTACTTTTAGTTTTTTGAGGAACCTTCATGCTGTTTTCCGTAGTGGCTTCACCAGTTTACATTTCTAAAAACAGTGTACTAGGGTTCCCTTTTCTCCACGTCTGTGCCAACATTTGTTATTTGTAGACTTTTTGGTTATAGCCATTCTGAGAGGTGTGAGGCAATATCTCCAACGGACCTTGTTCTTATAGACAAATTCACTGGGGGAATCCCTTTGTAAGGCAGTGGAATAATATAGAGGATAGTTCAGTGTGTCCTAACTAACTGTCTTCAGGCTAGTCCTGCCCCAATCTTCATTTTAATGGCTGTTGAGTCAGGGCTACTGTTTTAATCTTCTTCCTTCTCTCCCTTAATGCTGGGATCAGAAGTCAGTTTAGATTGTTTACAGATCCACAATATAATTTGGGCTGGGAAATATGGGTCTCTCTTAGGTGAAACAATATCCAATAGCAGTTAAGCATGCCTAGCTGCAAATGCCCATATCTGCTCATTTATAGCTCTTCAAACCACTGTTAGCTCTGAGTAGAGACCTATAGACTAAACAAAACCCTGCCCTATTGGAATGAATTCATTTGCCTCTCCAAGTCATCAAAGTGAAATTCTCTAAGCTTGAAACCACAAGCACTTTCTAATAGGTTTCAAGGCCTTATTTGTTCTTATTGTAAATTGGAGGTAACCATATTTGTGATAAGAATAACTTCCTTTCAAAGTGTGTTGAATGTCACTCAGACTGTTCTGTGCTTTGGACAAATCTGCCCTTCTTATTTGCAAATAAAAATTCTTTTCACTGCAAATAGACTGAAAATAGATTTAGTCCCAACTTCAAGTAGTTGAATCATCAAATTTAGAAAGTCAAGAGCAGTCTTTTTCTAAGGGTGTTAGTTGGAACCCAAGCCTTTTAGATATTCTGACAATATTTGGTCAAATAATTTTGGGAAATATATGCTGTGTTCCCACCTTGGAGAGTGCCAATGCCTATTGTCTTTACAAAGCTCAAAAATCTTGACATGACATGTTGAGCTCTGTTTATCTCAGTGCTCCCCTACCTGAGTGTGAGTATCCTTTTTTCTTTTAACATAATGTCTACTAACAGAATTCACTCTGGAAAATGCTGCTTATGGCTGTTGCTTCGGTTTTCATTCATTGGCTTCACATATGGTTTTCTGCATTGATCGGAAAAAATCCTTAAATCATTTACTGAAAGAAGGTGGTGACTAATTAACCTGTATTCTGCATTAAGTGTCTGATGGTCTTAAAAGACAGAAGAACTGAAACCTAGAGTTGTTATAAATTTTGATTGTCCACTAAACTGACTTTTTAATGAAAGTTGATATTGCACCCAAGAATTTGAGTGGGCAAATGTACTAAATTCCCATATAAGTGTATTTTTCACAGTGAAAACCAGCTGTCAGAAGGATTATTCCTGAGCCAAAAATACAAGCTACTTTTGAAAGTTCCATTTTGGAAATGATTTCAAAATGAAATTCTGGGGATTCTATGTTACTTGCAATATTTTAAAGTAGTATAATTTTGATGTGAACAGCGTAATTCTGAAAAATCTGTCCTACATGTTAGAACAGACTCTGCTGAGGAACATCCTGTTCCAGCTTTCTGAATCATCTTAACTTTTTAGGATTTTAGAGAAATTCCAAGAGTTTCACAATAAAACTACTTTTCTGAAAACAAGTGTGGAAGGAGTTACTTTCTAATTCTACTTGATGAAAAATTCCACATCCTCTAGACAGATTTACCCTTTATCTCTGCTTTCCTCATTCTAACTGCCTGACCGAACCCTACATGTCTCTTTTCTGATGGGTAACACACACAAATCTTAGTAAACTTTTCATTAAATGATGAATGCTTGCAGGAAAAAGGGGGAGATGGAGATGTAGGAGGAGGACCATTTGCTGCACCTTAAATCCCTGGCTCCTCTGAAACCACTTCAGGGAAATGTTTTATTTCTAACAAATAATGAACAGCATTTTATATGTATTCTTTTTCAGAGGAAGATCTTCCGAAAGCTATGTTCGTACCTGTATTCCCTGGGACACTGTCTGTGGAGGCTGATGACCCCTCCTGGAAAGGGTCTTTTAAGCTGTGCGTAATTACATGGGTCACAGGCAATGGAAAGGTATGGGGGTGACCAACCGTCCTGGTTTGCCCAGTACTGAGGGGTTGCAGGGGTGGAGGTCATGGGACCTAGGACCAGTGATAAAACCAGAAAATTCCTGGGCAAACTAAGATAAACTGATCATTCTAGTGAATACAGTGAGTACAGAATCAACTGGATCTATGCAGATCTATGCTTATGCACATTGTGCAATGCAGATGTCGAATTTGAAATGACTGAGCTTCACTCACGAAGGCAGATTATAGCTGAACTTGTGTTAGGCCTATTAGAAAGGCATGGAGTAAGTTACAGGATACATGGGGACTGTAAGAGAACTGGAGATATGTAACTGTTAGTGCCTGGGTTGCTTTTATTAGGTAGCTTCAAGTTTGCTTAAAGACAAAAGAAAAATGATCAAAGCTGTACCTTTTAGTGATATTTCACTATATAAACCAGGGAGAGAAAACATTTTTGTGAATATGGAGTCTTTGTTTTAAACTTTCTTACTGTTTCCCCAACAATGATAGTGGAATATTGGCCAGAGTCCTTAGGACAATGCAAAGCTGGGCTGTCTTGGCACACATAATATTCCAACTCTATACACTTTTAAGTGTCTCTGAGACACTAGATATGGTGGTGTTTTTCAGATGTGGTCAGTGCACTGCTTCCAACAAAATGACCTGGGATGCTTGTTAAAAATGCAGCCATTCCCTAGATCTATAGAATTAGAATCTCTCTGGCTAGAGCCTGGGAATATGCATTTTTAATAAGCTCCTCAGGTGATTCTTAAGCACTCCTACCTTTGACACCATGTAAAGTTTGCAAGACATTTAAATTTTTGTTATGAAAACAATATAACTGTACTAAAGGGAATCTTCAGAGAAGAAAAAACCTGTAATCCATCCAATAATTGTTTTTATTTTATGATGGTCTTTCTATATTTGCCCATATACACACATTTTTCACACAGTTGTAATCACAACACATACACAATTTTGCATATACACAAATTTGCATTTCCTCAATATTTTATCACGAGCTGTTTTTCATACTCTGTAGCTTCCTAAGTGATGACTTTTCTTTTTTTCTTTTTTTTTCGGTGGGTGGGCCTCTCACTGTTGTGGCCTCTCCCGTTGCAGAGCACAGGCTCTGGACATGCAGGCTCAGCGGCCATGGCTCACGGGCCCAGCCAGTCCGCGGCATGTGGGATCTTTCCGGACCGGGGCACTAACCCGTGTCCCCTGCATTGGCAGGCGGACTCTCAACCACTGTGCCACCAGGGAAGCCCTGCAACTGTATGTTTGAGTCAGGATTCAAGAAAGCTTCCCATTGCATTTGGTTCAGATATATCCTAAGTCTCTTTCTCTGTATGTTCCCATTTTGTCTTTTGTTTTTCTTGTATATTTTATTGTTGAAGAAGAAACTAGGTTTGTTTTGTAGAGTAGTTGCATTGAATTTTCCTGATTGCATTCCCTTGCTGTCATTTAAGATGCTTCTCTGTCCTCTGAATTTTCTATAAATTGGTGGTTAGATCTAGAGTTTTGATCAGAACACTTCTTGGTGGTGGGTTGTACTTCTACCAGGAAGAACTAATCTAGAATACAACTTTTAATGGTTTACTTGTATTGATATAACATAATCCCTTTAATTAATCCCTTTCTATTGGAATTTAAATTATTTCTGACATGTATTGTGATTACCAACATGGAGAGGACAACAAATTCTTTTGT